TTGATATCTACAGGCTTGACAAGCCCAGAACTGCCTGGACAAAGGCGGATGAGCTGACGGTTCAGTGTGGCCGTCCTATACCTTCGGCACATCCACAGCTTGTGGGCAGAGCGCATCTTTCACCGAAGCTTCTGCTGAAACGACCGTCAAAATTAGCTCCTGCTGTCCGAGCCCCCCTTCCACCCCTTCCCTTGGGATTCAGCATCAGTCAGCACCAAGACGAGCGGGGCGTTTCACCCTGATAGCGGTTTTATCTTTGCTAATCCATAGGCTCAGGAAGACAGCGCTATAGTCCTTACAAGCCACTGACGCTTTGAAGGGTTTTGCAGAGATAACTGTTCACACGAGCCTAATGAAGAGCACGGTCTTGTAGCGGAGAAACTCCCACCACTACGGGGCGGTGGCAGTAACGGGGAATTTTCCTTCGATCGTTCACGAAGCGGCCAAAGGTGGCAAGAAATTAATAAGGGAGAAAATGAACGCGTGGGAAAAGAACAGTGCTACAGAAGAGTGCCGAAGCCTATGGACAATTTCTGCCCTGCTGAGAGGGGGACAGGGGCTCCCCGTGCCCGGCGAGCCACCGAGCAAACACAGGACGAGCGCAGGGCGAGCACCCACCTTAACACCACAGATGCTTTTGCTGATGCTCTTTGAAAGCAGTGGCAGGGGCAGGGAGGGCAGGAGGAACAGCAGAAGCTCTTCCCGCTCTCCTTAATTCATTGAGCAGCTTTAAAAAGTGTTCACCCTAAATCGCTCACATAAAAATAACATCAGGTGTTTATCTAGAAAAAAGGCATTGTCTAAGTAACATTTGTTTTCTGGGCACAGATGCACCCAGTGTAAAACTATTTTTAAAAAAGAGTATCTTTTGAACACTAGGATATAGAAAGTGAGAGGTGCCACTGAATTTCTTACAGAAAAGTCAGTTTTCTTCCAGTGAGCTCACTTAGTAAAGGAGACACCAAATAGACACAGACACAAGACCACTGGAAAGTACTAATTTAGCTGAAAATGCACTTTTAGGCCAAACAAAACTACTTGTGAAGTTGAGTCAAAATCAGCAAATAAAGATTCAGCCAAATAGGAAAAAAGGAAAAGGTTAACCTGTTTTATTTTGGGGTGTGAAACAATGTTTCAGGTTTTCATTTTGAAATAATTTATTCCACAGATGAGCCTAAGGTCATTTTCCAAAATGTGAAAGAACGTATCTAATGAAACACTGTCCCCTTGAAAACAATTATCTCGATATATTTTTATGTCCCTGAATATTTTCAGGTTTTGTGCTAATACAAAGTGGACCTGTTTATTTCTCATTTTGGCCATCAGAAAAAAAAACCCCACCGTTATTCAGCAGCTCTAACACCAGCTCAAAGGAGCACCTCACTGGAAAGCCCAGAAAGCAGTAAGACACTCTCTAACGTGGTGTCACGAGAGGCCAGCACGGATTTTTTTGCTCCCAGAGCCACCAGCTTGTTGATGCCACCAGGGCCAGACAGGCAGGATAGGCAGCGCAGCGGGATCCGCGGCGGAGCTGCCGGCAGGTATCGGCACGGAGGTGCCAAGCACAAGACCTTTATTAACGAAAGACCATGTAACTGAGGTAGGGTAGATCCCGCCACCAACCACTTAGAGGGAGAAACCTGCGCCCAGAAAGGGAACCCACGATTGCCCAAGGTGGGATACAACCTCGTACAAAGACACCTCCGCTCAGGCTCGATGGAAATGGGGCGATGACCTGCTTCATTGCTGATGGCATGGGGAAACCAGGGTTTGCACAGCACTGAATTTTAATAACAAATAAAACCAAGCCCTGCAGACCCTCTCTTGGCCCCCGGCAGCATTTGGGGCCTTCCCTAAGGCGGCGGCCACCAGCTGAGGGCAGCTCCTGGCACGGGCTGAATCCCCAACGTGCACAAAAGGAGGAACAAATGCACCCGTAGGACGGTGTGGGCATTTTGGCGGGGGAAGGCTCACCACCCCCATGCTCCCGCTGGGAGGGAGGAGGTGTTTCGATGCCGGGATGAGTCCCTGAGGAGCAGCGTGGGGCTCACAGTTTGGCACGCAGGAGTTATTGCTGGGCCACCACAGAGCATCAAGGAATAAGCAGAGTGTGACACCGACGGTCCCCGCTCAGCAGGCGCACGGGGCTCCAGTCCTGGGGCAGGGCCAGGGCCGGGCCAGAGAGGGGAGCTGCAGCTGGCGTCCAAACGCTCCTGAGAGCATGCGCTGCCTCTTCCTAGCGCGCTTTTGGCTTTTGAGGAGGAAATATAAAATGAAAGAGAGGGAAAGGTTAAAAGAGATGGAGTTTGGGGGACATTTTTAAGTGATTATACGTAGAAGCTTTCAACTTACTACTGTTGGGAAGGAAAAAGAGAGAAAGAAGGCAATTATAGCAAGGCCTTGGATGCTTGAAGGATGGGGTTTCCCACAACGTATAGCCACGTACAGGTGTCCCTAGCAACTCAACATCAGAGCAAGAGCAAATAAGAAAAACATACATTTGGGGCAAGACTGGAAGAGCCAGAGCCGGGATTCCTCTAAGGACACCCCATTGTTCCTCTGGTGGGCACGAAGCACCCAGAAATAACCATCTGTGTCAGAGCTGTGCACTGGTTTAATGCACTGGTTTAATGCGCCGGTATTAAACTCCATCTGTTAAATAGATGCAATCCCAGAGAAACACTTTTCCTGCAATTTGAGTGGCTTAATACATTCTTAATGAACTGGATCTGAGAGAGACCTGACTAAAGAGGAGGGAAAAAAAAGTCTGGATTAACCCCAATAAATTAATTTGTTTGAAGAGTCTTTTGCATCCCTCTACCCAGAATCACATTAAAAAATCATATTTTACATTAAAACCACGAAGGAAGCCCTAAGACTGCTCAACAGGAAAAAGGAAACAGGAGATGGAGCAGGGTCCTTGATGTGAAAGCAATAAAACACTGGGACAAGGAGGGCCCTGGCTACCTGTATTGCTTGCTGCTCTTAGTTGTGTTATCCCCTGGTTCCCAGCTGATGCAGGGACTGGCTGCAGTTCGGGAGCTCTAAAGCAGCATGGGAGGAGAGGAGAAGCAGGATGAGCCGCCTGTTAAGTGACGGTGTCTATCTATCTGACTTGCTATCAAATAAAAAGACTAAAAATGGAGATTAGTTGTGCACAACCACACACAGTTTCTGACGTCATTTTCAATTTTGAGAAGTCTGGTCTAACCCCACGTTATGCAACTGTTGAATCTTCCACGCTGGCAAAGTCTAATTTTCACACGCCTACATGCTATGTACCTGATTTTTATTTTTATTTTTAAATATCAACAGCCTACAGCAATTTTTTTTAAAGAGACTTAAGTGGTCAAAATGGTTATGAAAGGTCCCAGCTTCACATCCGTTGTTTAGAAGGAGTAAAAGCAAAGATACACAAAGTCCAGTCTGAAAAACAGGCAATGAAGGTAACGCGACAGTAACAGATGAAATGAAAATTCAAGGGACAATTGCAGACAGAACCTCCCTCCAGCACGCGGATTATATATCCATGTGCAAAAAGTATTCAATGCATGCTTCATCTATAACCCACCTTTCTTTTAAAGGTCACACTTATAATTGAGATGTGCCGAGAAAAGAAAAAAGCCCTAAATAAAAAAAAAGCACGGCCATTTTATATCAATCACTGGAACGCACCAACACGGTGCTTAACCAAGCTTTCGCCTGAATTAAGCAAATAATAACGTCAGATAAACAAAAGTTCTTTCCTGAATTAATTCAGATCCCATGTAAACAGACCCTCAAACGGGGCAACAGAGAAAGAAGAGAAAGAAGAGAAGGCAGTCCTAGCGGCAAGAGCAAAACGTGGGCTGAATTCTCCTCCCTGGCCCTTTTACGTCTTCCTTCTCGCTGGAGACCTTGCAGTTCTCAAAACTTCTTTAGAGCTGCTGAATAATCAGTTCAATACAACAGCATTTCTGCCTTTCGGGTTGGGGTTTTTTTGGACAGTCTAACTTGGTGACTAATTCCCACCCTACTGTCAAAGATACACGAGGCGAGAATGCAGAAATCATCGGAAAGGATTTTGATTTCATGTGGTCATGACCCTGCCAGTCTCCTGGGCAGAAACCTGCTTCTGAGCAACGCCCTTTCTAGTAACCTTATACTGCTCTCCAGATCAACGTCTCCTTCTTCACTGCTGTGGAAGTTAAGCAACAGCGATCAAGTTGCACAGAGGTGCACGCGCCCTGTGTACAAACCAGCAACATATCGCTTTTTAAAATAAATATCCGGTCCCAAGACTTAGGCGGGCATTTTTCAGAGATGCACATAATGGCGGAACTCTATGGGTTCAAAATTGAAGGCCAAAGAGAGACGATCTTGCCAAGCAAGAGAAGCTGTCCTCACCTACCGGGTAAGATGCACGACTTGAAGAGCTGAAATTCATTTCTGCACCGTTGACTTTGTGCTGTGTGCGTCCAGGCAAGCACATGCAACCTGTATCGGAGGTTATCTGAAATCCACTAGGTTTTGTTCTGCGAATCAGGCCTGATTGACACGGTCCCTAAAGATACTGGTATCTGTGTGAAGTGATTCACTTGACTGCAGCTCATCACAGGCACATTTCACCAGGCTGCTTTACCAACTGCTCCAGCTAATCTTCTCTCTGCTCCACCAAGGAATAAAAGTGGATGTTGCTAGGAGTGCTGATAGTCCGGACAAGAAAAAGACTTATTTTCTGTATCTATGGTTGCAACAGCCCTTAAGAAAGATAGAAATTTCCCTGCAACAACTAACTGCATATTCATTTTAAGGTAGATCTAGTTCCAGATTCCTGAGACAGAACCCTCTACCTGTTCCCAACCCCACGAAGCCAGAGCAGCAATATAGAAAGTTTCTAATCTCAACAGAATTCAGTGAGCAGCACGATTGGTTTGGAAAATAAACAAACAAAACAAACGACCCCCCCCAAAACCCACAGCAAATTTTCAGCCTCTATGTACAAAAACAATGCAAACAAGTGGAACATTCTAGTTATATTTTGTGAAACACAGGTTTGGGATCAACAAAACATCAAACATCCAGACCCTAGATTACAAAAAAATCTATTGCCATCTAGTTGTCAACCCCAAGTTTAGACAGTCCTTGTCGGAAATCATGTAATTCATCTATCTTCCCGTCTAGTACATCTAAAAAATTCTTTAATTCAGTTTTAAGGTTGGTCTGCCTATGTTTGCTCTCTTCAACTTCTGTCCTTAGCGTTCTGACTTTCTCTTCAAGGTCTTTGTTCTTTTTCTCAGCAGCCTTAAAGACAAAAGAGACAATAAGATGAATCATAGAGGAGAAGGATGAACAGCATTTAACAGCGTAAAGCAACAAACGGCAGCCGGGCTGTAAAAGTTCGCTTCGACTTCTGCAAACTGATTAAGAGAAGCACCTCTGAGAGCAAGCGACATGTGCTAGTCAGATTAAAAGGAAAGAAAGCCCACGCAGGAAAGGACACAGGTTAAGTGGAAAAGACACTTTGCATCAGATTTTGTCATCTGGTTGATATCTTAAAATTCAGCTGGACTTAAATAACGCACTGTGCATGTATTTGTCATTGCTACAGTTGCAGAATCAGACACTGTGCCACCAATTACATACGGAATTATCTACGGTGGTTTAACCTTGAAAAACAAGCTTAGAAATTACTGCCTGAGGAATAATATTGTTTTATTCAGCACTTTTGGATTTATTGGTTTTTTTTTAAAGTTCCACTTTGTGTGAGCACCCAGGCAAGGAATGGGGCAGCCACGTAGCACTTCCCTTGCTGCAGTTTGTTCTATTATTTTCCCTTCTCGTTAGCTCTTCTGCTTATGGTTCTCTATTTCACGTGTGTAAGCATATGCTTATTCTCACCAAAACCCATAGACAACATATTTTACCATACTGAATCAAAGGAAATTCATATTTTAACCATTTTCAGCACCTGCATTCCTCAGTAGCCTTCTAAATGATTTTAGAGCGTTTAGATTATCAGAGTGATGGCTTATTTGATTGATTGGATTTGACTTCATTGATAAGACTGCTTATATTTGTTCTCCTTTCATGTATTAACTTATTGCATTTACACAAGGCCCGACTTCAACAAGTGATGCCCAAAGCCCAGCCTCCGGCTGGGGCAGGACTCCCGCAGCCCATCCAGCTCCGCTCCGAGTGAGCACCTCCCGGCAGAGGAGCCACATGTGCAAAACCGAGCCACGGCGAGCCATGCTTTGCTGGAAAGGAATGACGCAGCACGTAAATGCATCATCAGGTGAACTTCTTTCCCTGGTGGCGTGCAGCTACGCTCATCTGCTTCTTTCCAAAAAGCCTTCCCTAGTGCCACTGTGGCAATTAGCCGCAGGTCTTGGAGGGCTGCTCGACGCACATGGCTGCGGCGCGGCTCCACAAGCCCAGAGCAGCAGAAATACGGGATACAGGATAGCCTGGAATCTGCAGGAGATAGATGCAACACGATCCCAGGCAACCTAATTTCTGCCAACAGCAAGGCAAAGAAATGGAGCTATTTAATTACTCCTGTGCTGGGAAGGGCACGATGTGTTTTGCACGTAATTAGCATATCTGTTTTTACAAACTGGAGCTCTTTTGCCTTCAAACATTGAAGTCTGAACAGAGAAAAGCATTTAGTTAGGAGAAAGAAAGTAAATGTATCAACTATTTTAAAATTAATTTCGTTGTTAAACTGTACCTGTAATTGTTGAGATACAGATTCACATTCTGACATTAGCTGTGGTATAACTTCACCCTGCTTTCGGAGCTCTTCCAGTTCCTTTGAAAACATTAAAAAAAAATTAAAAAATGAATGCAAGCTTCAATTTAAAACATAATGAAAATTTGAGACTATGAAATGACTTTGCATATTTTATTGTATTTGGATGTAAAATAATCAAAATAGCATGTCTGCATTCCAAAACACATGCTAATTTTCTACGAAAATACATTTTTGCACTATATTTGTGACTTTGTACTTCTAACACAGGCAACGTAATCCGATCTCTAGCATGAATGCCTTTAATTATATCAATGAAATCTTAACCTAAAACACATGCCTATGCAAAAGACATATTCAATAAGAGAGAAATCTGAAGGGCTGTAATGCTACAAGCAATTTATAGGTGGTAGCAAAGAGCAAATTAGACATGAATTTTCAATGATATATGGCAGCAAAAAAAGGCCAATGGCATTACGAGCTGCCTAGACAGAGGCATCATTACAGAGCACAGCTGTAGCGGGCTCTCCTCCACGGTACAGCTCTGAGAACGCCCCCCTCCGAAATTTGTATTTGGTTCTGGCATCACTACCCAAATTGAGAGGACTAGCTGAAAGGAGTTAACGAAAAGAGCAACGTGACTTGATAGGAGACCGTGTCTCTGATGGAAATTAAGAGAGCTGAATATATTAACACCACAAACGAACACCACCAATGTGGGGAGTAGGGCTCGAAGAAAGGATGTACATTTTACAGAAGGGTCGTCAGAGCGTCTGAAAAGCACATTGCAGGTCCAAGAGGAACCCTGTGACTTGAAGAGAGTGCAAGAGCCTCCTCCAGACAGCTGCCCACGTAGGTGACGGTCTCAAGAGTAAGCAGGGGTATATCCTCTCCGAGCTGTACTGACCCAGGCCAGCAAAACCAGTCCTTTCCGAAAGGCAGATTTCTTGGCTGCGAAATAGGATTTCTTCCCTAACAGGTGAACTTACAGCACAATGCGAGTGTAACAGAATCCGTAAGTCAAGCTCTTCCACAGAACCAGACAATAACGTTTTTATATCTCTATATACATAAATAATGCCTGGGGGCTCAGATCTCAAAATATAAATACATTATACTATATATACTTACCATATATACACACACATGCTACTATACTGTATACTTACTATATATAGTATAATACAGCATGTGCATGTATCTATACCCACATACTATAGATAAGCTATACGGCACATGGCATACGGTGTATATATAAATATAAATGTTTCGCTAGATAGCTCTGTCCTGACTCCCATGTCTTTACATTTCTCTCTCCTCATTTCCTACATGAAGAGGGTCTCAGCAGCTCCTCTTACACGGCAACATCCATGAGCAGGCTTCACGCTGATTTGAATTGCAGACCATGAAAAGGTTATTTATGGGTGGTTTAGACCTAATCAAGAACCTGCTAATGTAAGTACGCAGTCTGAAAACAAGTTAGGGTATCATCAGTGTAAATGGGAGATAGGCATGTAATATTCACAAGTCAATCAATTTTCTGGTTCATTTGGTACCGTAAAAATGTGAATCTTGAGGAAAACGCTAGCAGAGAATAAGGGTTATTATACATGCTATTACCACAGAAAGGTTGGGAAGAAAGCATGACATTTCCTTTGAAATACTGGTTAAAAAACATTATATTTATAACAGTGCATCAAAATCCATCTCCCTAAACTATTTCCTTGTGCCATCTTAAAACCCCTTAACAGCACTGCTTTTAAGAGCACCAGCAGAGATGCTGTAATGGCACATGGCAAACTTCACTGCACCTGCTGACAGCTTTTTGTCTTCAGCCAGCACAGAGCATTTGGTCACTGTAATGAAGGAAAAAAACAAGGATCCCTATTATTTTCCCCACTGCTCAGGGGCTCCAAGCCATCAACATCATTCTCCGTAGAAAAATGAACACCCTGTATGTCAAAAATGACAAACTGGGGTACTCTAAATGAATCTGAATTTCTCACTCTTGGCATTAGTCCTGAGATCAGAGGGAGACCGTAAAACGGCAAAGCTGAAGACTACGAGCCATCCGGATAAAGAAACAGGACTTGTTACACAAGTGCCAAGTTATTTTGTAAATGATGTCTTTTTAGTGATGCTCCTGACGTCTACGGGAATTCAGGACACGGGGACTGGCAACCGAATTTGTTCTCAGCATACATCTGTCTGGCTTTGGGTAACTTGTTTCGCCACCCCAGCTCTTCTATTAGGAGTAAAGTGTTGTATACGTAAAAGTATCATGTTTGTTAACCACTGCCAAATTAAAGTGTGCTGTCACAGCGCGTAACACATCATGAGACTGAGACTGAGGAACTCTATCAAACTATTGCTGAAGTTGTACATGGAAAATCTAAAAATGGGTGACACCCTGAGACATCGGGCTTCTTCTGGCTGTAGGTGAGTCAGTCCATAAATCTACATGCCAAGTGAGAAGCAGACACAGACACTCAAACTCTAAAGCATGCCATTTCTGTGTTCAGGGCACTTACCAGCTCTTTGTCCTGAAGTTCTGTTTCCAGTTCCTGGAGACGTCTACTCAGCTGCGCGTTTCTTTCCTTCTCTTTATTTATTTCATTGCACTGTTCCTCCAGTTCTTCAATCTTCAAGAAATGTCAGACATTAGGTGAAATTTTTCAAACTTCTGGAGATTTGGGGCAGATTACGGCTGATGTAAATGCGCATTGCTCCACTGAGCAGAGGGAAGCACGGACAATTTTAGTTTGTCACGGATCTGTTTCCTACATCGTAGCATTTGATTCACTGCAACAAAATTGTCGCTTCTTTCCTTAAAAAGAGCCAATTTACACATCCACTAGGAAGCCCTGGGACTGTGTTTATTCCCTCTCACACAGTATCTCATATAATTACTCAAGAATGCGCAAAACACCAAGCTGCTAAAATAAGTGGGGCTGGGGATAAAATCCACATTTCATTTCTATGAAACCAACACAAGACTATAAAGGATGGGGTTTCCTAATGCAGCAAGGAGAAGAAATCTCGCCAGTGCTCCCAGCTTTGCCTCCTCAGGGGTTGCTTATTATTCGGGCTGGAGTACGAGGGACAAAACATCAAAACTTTGGGGGAAGAACCAGTTCAGAGCAACACGCACCGCTTTGTTCTCTCGCCCAGGGACGTGCTCTCTCCATACCTCCTCCTCCCAGCTCTGGACTTAGCTCCCAGGAGATGCACTTCCCACAGGCCGACGGGCCAGCTCATTAAAATATGTACTTTAATTCTCAGCTTCATGTTGCTTTGGGATTACAACTTCCCTCATTTGAAGGTGGAGCTATATGCATAAAATCCTGACCCAATTAATAAAGGAGAGGGAACTTCCCAGGGCGCTGCAGCGATGCGGTGTGAGCGCCGAGCAAGGAACCTACTTGGGGGAAAAGCTGAGAAAACCTCTCTGCACAGAATAAGATGGTGCATTATACAGACAGTGCTGCTGCACAGTCTGGCTAGTCACTGGTACGATGACTTTGCAGCTGTAGTAAGGCAGTGTTTTGATAATCATCTTATAGCTAGGCTACAGCTACTGAGATGTGGCATGTTTCATCAATTAACGTTAATGAGAACAACTTTTCTCTGCAACAGTATAGAAAAGTAAAAAGCTACACTGTAAATTATGCTATTTTCTTGTAACTTACTGTTCCAGTCTCTCACTTCTCCCCTGTCCAAAAGAGACTGGATGTAGGAATCCAAATCACGTAACAACTAATATTAATGTATTAATGCAACATCAGCTAACACAGCTCTGGTTTGATCTCTGAATTATCACTGTGCACACCTAAAATACATGCAAATAGAGAGTATCCGTCTGGGGAAAACATTGCTCCACATGGAATTTCAACGCTGACAGGCAACCCAGGCCACCTCCAATGCTGAAATACTATTTGCAGTCTACTGACATAAAAAAAGATCTGAAATTCCTTCCCTCTTTGAAAGTAAACACTAAGCAACAAAAAATCCTCACCAGACTGATACAATCCGATCTCTAAACGTCCCAGTGATCCATCTACACGAGCAGGGAAAGGGTCCAGATTTTTCAAAGACATTTAAGATGAATAGAGTGAAATTACCCCTGCGAGCAGTGCCCACAGAAGCCAAGCTTCCCCCTGCTCAGGTTGGTGCCAAGCCTGTGTGGGGCTGTTACAGACAGTGCTGTATTATTTGAGGGACAGTACCAATGAATACTCAAACTGAGGCTTTAAAAATTTAAACTTCGCAGTTGTTCTCTGCTGTAGCCGCTGCTCACCCTCAGTCTTACACTACTGAGAAATGTTGTACTCAATAACGGAGGGGAAAAGGCTTTTGACGATGCCTTTTGGCAGGTTTCTGGATGAGATGTGCCTGGCGTTAGTGCTGGAGGACCCGGCTCACAGCCCGCAGTGCTGCGGACATAACTCACGTCCTCATTCCCCTGCCCGCTGTCAGGATTTGCTTCTAATACTGAGCGGTTCCCAGCTTGGCTTCCTGTGGGTAACCAGGCCATAACCTTGCCTTCTGCTCGTGCATCATCTGGCAGTATTTCAGTGAGCTTTGAAAGGGGTACGCAATAGTAAGCCCACTTTTAAAACCATTCTGGTTTATCACCCTGGCCAGCAACCCCTGCTGACACCAAGTCTCCCAAACCAAGAGGCAGGGAGCTTCACGTGATGCGGCAGCACCAGTCCTCCCGCTGATCCCCAGCCCTTTGAACTTCCCTGCCCGCTGTGTGCAGAGGGAAGCAGCTGCCCTTAACGCCCCCCGTCCACTTCCCTTCCAAAGACAAAATCCATCTCCTAACACACAAAGATAAAGCAGCAGAAATCCAAGAGAAAGAGCAATGGCAGGTGCAGCTAACTGGAAGAGACAGCTCTCCAGAGGGTATGCTCTGCTACCTTGCTCCTGAGCTGGTCGTTTTCCTCCTTGCAGGCTGAGAACTGCTTCTTCCAGTGCTCGATGCTGGCCGCGGACTCCTGCAGCGCCGTGGTCAGCCTGGCGTTGCTCTCCCGCAGCGTCTGCAGCTCCGTCTCCCACTTCTTCACGTTGGATGAACTGAGAAAACCAGGGTGCCATTAGGTGCCTTCACCTTATAATCCTGCGTATCATTACTCTTTACACGACTGCAACCTCATCCGTCCACGGTGCGTGTTTACCAATGATGGTTGTTCTAAGATCAAGCGTACTCAGATGTAAGTACTTGCCCCTAGCCATTGCCTGCCTAAGGAGGACATAAGCCTTAATTTGGCTGTCTCTGCCGAAACAAAGGGCTCTATCAACTCCAGCAACAGTGACCTGTGCTTCTGGAACAGAAGTCCTGCCGTCAAAGCAGGCTGTAGGGTTCAGCTGTCAGCTGGGGTCTCCACCGTTTGAGAACAGGGGTTTTACTTTGGCTCTGGGCACGGTCTGTGCTCACATCCAGAGCGGCGCGGGCTGTGCCTCGCTGAGCACCCGCTGCAGTGCAGGCCTGGGGACATGGTACCCATGCAACAAAGCGACTCTACACATTTGCAGATGGTATAGTAATTCAGAACAGAAGATGTCAGGGGGTTGACACTACCTATATTTGATTTTTTTTTTAATGCTCAGCTTTAAATATAAAAGAGTTACATAATGCTGAAGAATTAAACTACTCATTCCCCAAAGCTTCAAACTGCAGCGTAGAGCATGAGATTAGAGAGTGAATGGAAGGAAGGCTTTGAAACTCCCTACATGCTAGCTGCTACTTGCCTGTGGTGTCTTCAGC